CCGAGCAACGTGGATGGCATCAGAGGTACCTCTCTGCTGGCAACAAGAGCTGATGCTCTAAAGCACAAGTGCTCATGTGGCTGCCAGAAAGAACAAGGCTCATTTGAAACACAGGCTTTAAAACCGAACGTGAGCTGCCTGCCTCCTCTGGCGCTGCTGTCCTTGGAAGCAGGCACTGAAGAACTCCAGTGCTATTGATCGTGTCTCTTGGTCCGAGTCACGACATCTGAAGCACTCGATTTTCTTCTCTGCTGATCCAGAGCCAGCTTCCCCCCGTCCCCTTCGCAGCCTTGAGAGCATAAATAACCCAAGCACAGCAAACACAACTGGGCACCAACACCCCCAAAGGCTGAAGCAGCACAGGCACAAATCCCTGCCAGTTTTCAGATGAAGCAGGTTCATACCTATTATGTACCAGCTCAGCCATCAGTTTGAGGACGGGTGTAGTGCAGGCAGGGTCATGGTACCAGAGCTCAATGGCCCGCTGCAGGATTGGCATGTAGGATGGGTAACTGCAGGGTGAAAGCTAAGGAATGTTGTGGCTTTGCCTGAAGCAAAAAAGGTCACAATTTCTACCAAAAGGCTTATTTTTCTGTACTGCACCCATGCCTTGTGAAGCAGCTTATGTGAGAGGGTTAAACAGAGATGCTGCTTGCTGGGGTCTGCTTTATCACACAATAAATGAGCATAATTAAAAATAGAGCCTCTTCAGTGTGTTGAAAGCATTGCAAACACACTTCTTATACTAGGACAAGCCAGAACCAAACAGGTCTTGAACGAAAGGGAAGCCAGAACCAAAGATGTGTCAGTGCAGACTGCTGACCTTTCCTAGCCAGCGTGCTCTTTGAGCAGCTATGTGCTCACCAAAAGGACAAGGATACCAACTGCTGTTGGCTTTGGTGAGCAAGAGGAGAAGCTTTTGTTGCTGCCGGGAAGCACGCATCCTGTTCAAAGCCTTTGTGCTTTGTAGGTCAAATCTCTTTAGGTCCACTCGGAAAAACCCCAACAGTTGGCTTTGAGCAGACTTCTAGGTTGACTTGGTTACAGACAGACCTATTTTAGGGCTTAGAGACAGGATACTGAGTACTATACAAGTGAAGAGAAACCCCAGTCAGGGTTTCGCAGGGAAAATAGGACATTTGGATGCAGGCAGACAGAGTTCTCTCCCCTCTGAGGGACATGATGACTCAAGTTTTAGGGCAGTAGAAGGATACATCCACTCAAACAGCATCATGAAGCTGGTCTTGGCATTGAAGGCAAAGGCTATTCCCCTCAAGTCTCTCACCAAGCCAACCAAAGTTCTCTGCATTGCAAAAGAAAAGAGATGTTAAAACTTAACACCCATGGATCTCTCCCTCCCTGGCTCCACCAGCCCAGTTCCTCCCATCCCACCCGGAATACAGCCTTTCTGTGCTGGATGCCAATCCCAGGTTAGACAGTTCTTCCTCTTCAGTGCCTCTTTAATTTGAGCCAGTGCAGTGACAGTACTGGGGTTTTTCATTCCAAACAGAAGGAAAGTTGGTGCTTTAACTATGAACTCCAAAGGGTACAAGGTGCACCACTGCTTCCCCATACACTGACAGGAAAGCCCCCATCCCTCCAGCATCTACTTGTCTCATTCAGAAGAGAGGATGCTCTCACTCTGCAGGAGTTCTCTCATGTCTGCCTGAACTGAAAATGTCAAAGCCCTGAGGGAAACAGCAGGGAGAGCACGGATAACAGGGAAGGTCCTGCCCAACTTACTTTTGCCTCTTGTTCATTGAAAGTATTTGTGCTGAACATCTGTGCCACAGTCTCAAAGGCAGCTGTGAGGGGAAGCATGAACTGCTCATACTGATCTTCATCTTCCCCTGAAAGAAAAAGAAAAGGAAATCAGGAAAGGGGGAGATAAGAAAGGAGGAAACAGAGTGCACATACTAGACCCTTGCTCCTGCCTATGGTGGGCCTGCAGAGCTCGAGGCAGAGACAGACAGACACAGAGATCTATCGATGCCAATATCCAGGTTATAGATAAGGCTTACAGCAAACTGCCAAATCAGGAAAACATCGGGAATATTATGAAGGGAAAACAGCCCCAGCCTTGGTGCCATGTACCTGTGGACTACTTGTACTCAGCGACATGGCATCAAACCCACTCTCGAGCTTCTCTCCCCTGCTTTTTCTTATCCCATTTGGCTTTTCTCATTCCCAGCATCCTTTCCTGAAGGAGCTCACAGCTCAGCCTGGCATCCAAACCACGCTCTGGTTCCCAGGAAGAGACCCCAGTACCTAAATCCACCATGAGAAGACGCCCAAGTGCAGTGTAGAACGTAGTCCGACACCTCATGTCAGTCAGGTTGGACTGATTGTTAATGCCCAGGAAGGAAAAGTGCTCACTCTGCAAAGGGAAGAGAAGAGATGGGTTAAAGGGGAACCACCACCTCGAATGGGCTCCTGGATCGAAGGCTGAGGAGCCCTCATTCCCCTGGCTGATCCCCAGCTGGTGCAAGGATGAGAAGCAGGGAGGTACATGGGTACCTTGCTCACCACATCTGCCAGCCAGCTCAGAGAACACACCACCAGAGGGCAACAAGCACCGTGTCCTATCCACCGGCAAAGCCAGCAGTGCTATCTATCATCTTTCATCTTGGAATTCCCCAGGACCAGATGAACAAGGAAGCCTTGCTCTGCCTCCAGAGCACAGAAGTAATCTGCTCCCCTTATTCACGAGACCCTTCAAGCATTAAATGGCTGAAAACCCAGTTACTCTGCCCATGTTCTCCACAGAAAGAGTAGCCCCAGATGATGTGCAGCTTCTGCACTAAACACAGGACATGGGACTGCCTGCAACACATATCCTGGCTCAAGGAATACAGTGCCTTGTGCAACTGGTCAAGGCAAACCTTCTGGACGTGGTGCTGGGAGTCATATGAGATGACCACATGCACCCAGAGGTGAGTTAGAAATGAGACACTTTGCTGCCGCCTTTAGTTGCTCAGTCTGACATTCCTGATTTCAATCAGCAGCCCAGACGTGCACAATGAGCACCACCACACTGGTAGTACCCCCACATGGGCAGTGACCAAGGCCCAGGCCTGCTATCCTAAGCACTGCAAGCCATGGCACTTCTTCCAAATCAGCACTTTCAGAATGAAAGCAGGAACAGTGAAATGCTGTTACATGCTGCTTTAAGTTGCATGAAGTGCTCACTGCCTGGCTGCATGTGCAGCAGTACCAGCTGTCTCCTGCATTTCCCCTCTGGAGATGGCTCTTTCAGTGGAGAGTAGAGATCCTCCCATTAACCCCTTGGGGATGAAAGGTACCACACAATTACAGCCCCTCCAAACGGAACAAAGAGAGACAGAACACAGCACATTTCCTAGACCATGCATGGCAGCTAGCAGGATCCGAAACATCTGGGAGACAGGGAAACTTCAGAAGTGAGTCCAGATGTTAAGCTGAGGGGATTATCTCAGCTGCAGAAGGCAGATGGAGGCGGCTGCTGTGAGACAAGATGCAGGAGGTGGAAGGACTCACCGTGTGATTGTTCAGCATGAACTGTACGGCGCTCAGCTTCACCAGCTTTCTAACACTGCTGTATGTAAAGGGGGTGTTAAGGAAGCAGCAGAGTCAGTAGAAAACTTCTTACAATGCTTGCAAAACACTTCCAGGGCAAAACTGAAAGAGGACTTATGTCTGTGTTACCGAACATGTTCTACTCTCAATCCCACTTGTTTCAAGAGCAATCAAGTTGCATAAATCTCTACTGCAGAGACCTGCAGTGACCATTTTTATTTACTCTGCCAGGAAGAACAAGCAGAAGACCACAAGACAGAGTGTAACAAATTTAAGTGTGGATGGAAAGCTACAAAAAACTTAAGGTCCAAAAGAAAAAACCTACATTATAACCATCCACTGCGATTCCAGAGCTAGCTTTACATTAGACATTAGGCAGAAGCTCTTCCCTGTGAGGGTGCTGAGGCGCTGGCACAGGGTGCCCAGAGAAGCTGTGGCTGCCCCATCCCTGGCAGTGTTCAAGGGCAGGTTGGACACAGGGGCTTGGAGCAACCTGCTCCAGTGGAAGGTGTCCCTGCCCGGGGCAGGGGTTGGGACTGGAGCAGCTTTAAGGTCCCGTCCACACAAACGAGGCTGGGTTCTGTGAGTCTAGGTAAGATGGTGACCAAGCACTTGCACTCTCACTCTGCTCTTCTCACTACCCAGAAGGGGTGCTTCAGAAACCTGCTCCACGCAGAGTGCTCCTGTTCCAGCCGAACATCTGGGTCACTCTTCCCCCATCCTGAGGTTCAAGTGCTCTGCACACCCAACAGCTCTTTTAAAAGGATATCCAATGGAGAGGTCATTGAGCAGCTGCAGCGTCTTGGAGGTGATAGGCTCGCAGCGACCCCAGTACTTCAGGTTGGTGATGCTAGGGAAGAGGACAACAAGGATCATCAGAGGGGTTTGCTTGGCTTCTCCTTTGCTGTGCGGCAGGTTCTTCAGTTTAAGAGTCACCCAACATCATCAGCTCCACCCTCCACCGAGACCACAGACATCACAAGCCACAAAATATTGGTATAAAATTACTGTACTTACATTTGGTTGACTAGAAAATTATCCTTCAGATAATCTTCACTACTTGGGTCCCAAGCTACACTGGCCCATACCCAGGCCCTTGGAATTCTGTGGCACTCCAGGGCTGGTTTCTGCAGCAAGGGTAAGAGAATTCTGCGGCAGTGACTACATGCAGACGTATGCAATTCTGCACCTGCACCATCCACTGTCAGCTGCAGAATTCTAGTAGCCCTTGCTTCTTCCAGGAGAGCCACGTCACCCCTTGGGGACAATGCATCACCCCCATGCACGTAAAGATGGGGGTGATGCTAAAGAAGTTAAGGGGGAGCTAGTGGCTGCACCTCACCAGGCACATGGCACTGGGTGTCAGCACTGGAGCTACTGAATTGGTTCAAAAACACTAACGGAGGCTGCTGAAGACATGACAAAAAGCCAGTGGACAGGTTTGGTCCAGAGGAGAGCTGCCAAGAACAGGCCAAATAGGTGCCTAGCAGAGCAGAGGAGTTTCAAGGCAAGGACCTGCACTACTCTGGGACTGAACAGCACAGTTTGAAGGAGCAGTCCCCTCCCCATTGAACTTTCGTGGCTGGTGATTGCCAATAGTCAAGTGATAGGGCATGAGTGCTTGAGGCTGTCCCCTCTCAGACTGTGGTTTTACTGAGCAGACACTGGAAAGAGAATCCATTCTCCTGGTATACAGCTTATGGTGGTGTCTCCACGGTGGATAAATCAATCCTGGAGATTGCGCGTGACTCGGGCCCTGACAAAAGCCCGTGTTCTCTCGAGTAACCAGATGTTCCTAGGTTTACACTGAACAACACTCCCTCATGCACCAGTTTTCCTGGTTATACCTTCAAACAAGCCCTGGAATCTCTGATGCCTGCGAGCAGGAGCACTTACATTTTTCCTATGAAGACGCTCAGGACCATGGTCTCATCATTCAGCCCCAGGACCTCTGAGAGGCGGCGGTAGAGCTGGAGGAGGGAAACACCACCAATTAAAAGCTGTCAAGAAAACAAGTTCTGCTCAAAGGTTGTTCTTCTCTTGTCCTCCCTTTGCAGCACACATGCCCAGGGGGATGCACATCTGGGCTTTCCCAGATCACAAGCTTCTCTGTGTGTCAACTGATCTGATCCAGACCAATACTTGCCCTCATCACTGCTACCTCTTTATACCACCAGTCGTAGCAGGTTCAGGTACTGTACACAGATGCTGGAGCACTTACTTTCCCTAAGGAAAGGGGATATAATTGTGCTCCTCCATCTGCAGCTACATGCAGTACCTTAATGTATTTGTCTGGAACTCTAAGCCCCTTGTCACATCACTGCTCCAAAGTCTCTGGGGTGGGGAATGAAAGCCATATGTTACTAGTAAGGAAGAGAACCTGATTCTGGAGTGATGATGCTCCTATTCTTTACATATTCTTTATTTAAAGAAGGTATTTTTCATCTCTAAAGAGACACCAAGGCAAAGTCCAGTACATCTACAATTGCCTTGTGATGAAAAGAATGGATATAACGGAGTTGATGAAACAAGGCACAGACACTAAGCTCAGGTTCCTCATGGGTGTATGAGGTGGTGCAACCCACACACTTTCACAGGTATCATTTGAAGTCACAGCAGAAAGCCAGCAAGTCACAAAACTGAAGCCAGGTCTCAAGTACCAGGTTACTGGCATAGTCACTGGCTCCTTCCTGACACATGCAGAACAGGGCAGTTCAAAACCAGCTCAGAGTTTGCAAAGGTAACACTGGAGATGCATCTAAACCACCCAGCACAGGTTTGAGTGTTTGCAGCTATAAAGAGGAGAAAATAAATAACACCACTTGCTCTCATTTTAAAAGGGCAGCTATTACTGGACTTTGCATCACCACAGAGATGCAGCCAAGAGGACTGATTACCTTGGAAGACTTCTGCACCTGATCTCCAATGTAGATCTTGCGGAACTGCTCGAAGAAGCTCAGCATGGCAAGCTCCAGCTTCTCATTCCCTGCCTGCGCCAGGCGAGAGTCCGTCAGGTTCATCAGCTGCAGCACCCTGCAGAGAGGGGAAAACCACGCCTTGCAGATGGACACAGGGAGAAAGGAGGGATTTCTGCTGTTTCCAGGCTGTGCACAACAGTGTCTGTTACCTGCTGTGGGCATTGTGGGTCAAGAACTGATAAAAACTGGTAACAAAACTCTCACTAGGGCACATTCCTCTCCAGGGCAAGGTCATCGTAAGGATTCCATATCCCTTTTAACAGGGATGCAAGGCCCTGGGTTTAATTTGCCACAGAAGTGTGTTCCAGGTGCTTTAGAGCACTGACCCATGATTGGTCCATCATGCTCTCAAAGTCACCTGAGAAAAGTGCTCCCCTCACAAGAGCCAGACTCTAAATGACAACCCCACCTTCAGCAGAAGCACTGCTGTGACCTGTGCACAGTAAGCAGGCCTTGCTGGCAAAGAAGGGGTGGAGGGATTTTAGGTAACACAGCAGAGCAGGGGAGCAAAAGCAATGAAATTCTTTATGGCAAGTGCCACAAAGCGGGAAAAAAACACCCCTCTCATATGCTGGCTCTAAAGTAGCTAAAATATATGCAGGGTCTCACCATTTCCCCTTCATTAACTCATCAGCTACATGGGAAGCCAGGGCTTGACGTTATCCATTGGCTCACCAACAGGCCAGCTTCCATACCTTCCCAGTTACATCCTTTTCCTACCCTAGCTTCCAAGCGGAGCAATTTGGCTCTGGAGCAGAAGGCAGTCAGTGTGACTCAAGGTCGTTCTATGTGTTCTCAAATCCACCAAATAAAGCTTGCACTGGAGAGGATTTACAACCCCAAAGATCCAGCATGGGTTAGATGATGTGTTAAAGCTATAGGAGAACTACAATATTCACAGTGTATTTATGGACAAATCCCACTTTCGATCATTAACTGGCAAGAAGACTTTTCCCCCACCCCAGCAAATAACTGTCATGCATTTAGATCTACTTCAGTGCATGCAGTTAAGCCTGGTGCAATCCCCCTCCCACAAGCTCTTCCCCTCTCATTCTCTTTCTTATGACCCACATCTCCCAATTTAGCCAAGCCACAGCAGAAGGTTGCTGAGTGGCTCCAGCTAGCGCCCCAATCTCTTCCTTCGGGATGGCCAATTCCACACTTGCTCGGTGACAAGAGGGGAAGAACATGGTGTCAGCTTCAGGAGAGCAATTCTTTTGTGGATTTCAGTGGTGGTGCAGCTAGAAAAGAGCATCCCTACCGACAGACCAACTCGCCATCCATCGCATCCTGCTCATCCGTGCTGGCAAAGGAGACCCTGCCACCGATCACTGCCCCGATGATATAGACGAGCCACGTCAGGCGTCCTGCAACCAAGACACATCACAAGGAGGACATGTGCATTTTGTTTAGGCAAAGACAGGATTCTGAGGGAGGATCTTTCTGCTTTCCTGCCCATCTATACCCAAATTACTCTGTTTTCCACTTGCAGGCATGGCTTTGCTAGAAAGAAAACAAGAACATGAGGTCTGCGGCGAAGATTTCATTACTTAAAGCTATTCCACTGCAGAAAGCCACTTGTAAAACCATGTTCAGTGTGTTTCAACACGTGTAGATACCAGCAGGCAGCATTTATTCTTTCAAAGTACGTGTGGCTGGTGGAGAAGACAACATCATGTGGAGCTTTGCCCACACACAAAAAGAGAAATAACAAAGCGCTACGTTAGATCAGATAATACTGCTTCAGAAGGAAGAGGAACAGTTTCCACACCCGTGCTGATGTGCCCAACTGCTCCTTGGAAGAGGAAGCCAGCTGTGTCATTAGAGAAGGGGCATAACACAGCTAGACCCGAATCTCCAAAGGAACTGCTACTTTACAACCAGTATTAAGCAATTCCCAAACCAAACAGCCAGGCAAGTACAGGACCTGCGTGCTGAATGCACCCAACACTGTGGACAGCCTCCTTCATCCTTCAGACACTGGCACCAGCTGAAAACCCCACTCCCAGTTACTCATTACCAACAACCAGCTGGAGGGTTCTGTCCCACGCTCAACAGGGAGGTTCAAATGAGCACTCCACATCCTGCCTCTGACAGAAGAGGGATGGGGCCAGGCAGTGCTGACCACCTCTGGATGGGAGAACATCCTCAGCCTCTGAAAGCCTGGAGAAGGACATATGCTACATCTCCCCCCAAAAAAGGACTGGAGTCACTTGTAGGACAGCAATATCTTCAGCAGTAATGTTGTGTCTGTCTAGAGCCAAAAATATTCTATACCTTACGAGCACCACCCTGTTAAGAGATCTGCCTCCCACCTTTGGGTGCAGGCTTTCACCATGAGTGTAGGCTTCTGATATGGTACTCGGGAGAACAGGCAACCTACTGCAAGCTCACAGGCCACAGTTCTCAAACATGCTCACCTTCTTGAACAGCAACGTCCATGGGGCTGGCGGTGGCACTCTGCAGCAGCTCCTGGTAGGACTGGGCTGACTGGTCAAAGAGCTGCACGAGCAGAGCACAGGTCTTCTCGTACTCGCACCGGCCGATGGTGGACAGTTGATCTAGCTGCTGTTGTACAAGGCCAGTGTCATCCAGCGGATCCTCCAAACCATCCCTAAGCAGCAAGAAAGCAGATTAGAAAAGGACTTAAAACTGTAGAGACCATCTAACCCATACAGAGGAGGACTTGGGGCTGTTGGGTGAGGAGAAGCTCCCCATGACCTGGCTTCAGTGTGCACTAAGCCCCCAACACAAGAGGGACGTGGAGCTGCTGGAGCGAGGCCAGAGGAGGCCCCGGAGCTGCTGCGAGGGCTGGAGCAGCTCTGCTCTGGAGCCAGGCTGAGAGAGCTGGGCTGGGGCAGCTGGAGAAGAGAAGGCTCCTCAAGGGGACAACTGAGAGCAGCTCCAGTGCCCAAAGGGGCTCCAGGAAACCTGGAGAGGGGCTTTGGACAAGGGATGGAGGGACAGGACAAGGGCAATGGCTTTAACGTGCCAGAGGGGAGATTGAGATGAGCTCTTGGGCAGAAGCTCTTCCCTGGGAGGGTGCTGAGGCGCTGGCACAGGGTGCCCAGAGAAGCTGTGGCTGCCCCATCCCCGGCAGGGTTCGAGGCCCGGGTGG